AGAGAGAGAGAGAGAGAGAGAGAGATACAAAAAAACTTGTTAAAGAAAAGTGATGTTTTTTATGCAAAATAAAATAGGCTAGATTAAAATTAAAAATGTTTAAAACAGTTAATAAAATAATTATTGTTAATTTTAATCTTTAAATTATTAAATTTGTTATACAAAAAAGAAAGTTAGCTTCTTTATTCTGAATCCACTCGTATATATATTATTTAAATTATGTGGACATGAAGATATATAAGTGAATAGTGTTTCACAAGCCGCCCGGTTGTGTACGCGAGTACTTAACCGCTACTTATAAATGACAATGTCCTATATACACATCTCGTAACTGCATTTTAATAAATACTACTTTTTTTATTAAGGGAGTAAAATCCATTATAGACACATCCGGGGAGCATCCCCCCATCCTATTGATGTGGCTTGGGGATAGTACCGACTCCTACCGGCTAAAACACTCCCTTCCCCTCACTTCCTCCGCCTTGGTAGTGGTGCGAGCGGGCATCGCCTTTCATCCTTAGGCATTAATCCGCTGCATCTCTTTGGCATTGGCCGTGGAGGACCCCCACTCTAACCCAGTACCTAAGTGCACCTGAGTGCAACTCACTCCGTCGGCCCATACCAGGAGCAAAGCCGAGCGCAGGCCCAGACCTGCGTCCATCCATTTTCTCGAGCCCCACCCCATCCCGATTCCTTGCGCCCCTGGGATGTTCCAGGGGCCCCCTTTCTGTCACGGTAGGGTCTGGCGCGGGACACCCAACCCTAGAACGTATCCATGGGCCGGGCAGCGCAGTGCTGGGAGCTCGGAATATTTTCTAGCTGACAGGAGCCCTTCTGCGCATGCGTGAGATGACGTAACAGCTCGACGTAAGCAGTTTCCAATGACGGCATTAGGCGCGAGTAGAGGGTTTTTAGGGGACATGCATAAAATACTCGGCCGTCTGTCTGTTGTTGTTTGCCCGCGAGTGGTTAGGGTTAGGTTAGATGTAGTGAAATGTTACAATAATAAATTAGCATAATTAATATAGTTATAATAATTAGTGTAGCTGTGTGTGTGAAAAAATGTGATAATATAATATGTATATATATTATATATTTATAATAAATAAAATGTGATAAAAAAGTGCAATTTTAATATAAAGTGATATTGTGATAAAAAATGCAATTATTAAGTTAATTAAAGAAAAAAGTGCCGTATTGAAGAAAGAAATGGATCAACAACAGCCTTCGTCATCAAGTGGCATCGAGGAAAAAAAGAGGAAATGTGCGAGAAGAAAATTCCAATATGCATGGTTAAATATGAATATCTTCAAAGATTGATTGGTTGTAGAAATTACATAATAAAAAATATATTTATTTACTCATGAACAGCATTCTGTTTCTTCCCACAAACTTTCTTTTCTCTCTACAATCCCTTTATATTTTCTTTTAAGTGAGAGATTTTACGATACCTTAAAATAGATACGGCGCTGAGGTTATCACCGAACGGGGCCGTCACGGCAGAACTAGAGTCACTCTAATCAGAGTTTGGCTACAAGTGTGGTTTCGTAAAAATCCTGCAAGACATATTTTCAATCTCTCTCTTTGTCTATCTTTTCTTAACATAATCTAATCTACTGTCATAGGCGTACTGTGATTGGATATTGTATGGGATTTGATGAAACAGCAGACCAATCAAAAGTTATTCCCTTATGGCCAAACTCTGATTAGAGTGACTCTGGGCAGGACAAGCCGCAGACCCCATCCGATGGGCCGCCTGTTGACTGTTTAAAAGATATAAAGAACAATGAAGAGCCGAAAGTGTAGATAATATACGCTTATAATTTAACAAATGCTTTTTGACCATGTGATATGGTACTCTTCAGTCAATTATTATAATGTCAATACGTAATTAGATAAGTCGCAGAATTATGATATTCTTATGTTTTTCGCGGTGTTGGTTATGTTCAAGAAGAATCTCAAGTTTGTCATATAAGCGTTTGCAGACTACGTGAGACAAAATAAAAATCTATATTAATTTCCTAGATATAAGTTCCCAAGAGAGAAATAACTTGCTCCAAGTAAATAAGTTATATATTCTTAAAAATTGGGTAATTATTCAGTTTAGCGTCCTCACCTCAGAAATAAATAAAAATAGGTTAAATAGACATGTTTTCATCAAACAAGTTTTCTATTCGAAAAAATCGTTGTTCTTCACTGCAAAGTGAGATTAATATTTAAAGTTGAATGATATGATAAGTTAGGAAATCTGTCATACAGATCAAAAGTAGCAACATAAGCACGCTCTGTGGCTACTTGCGTATGCGAAAAGTACGCAAATTTGACATACTAAACAATATGTACATTTTGGTAATTGATAAAAAAAAGGAGTGTTTTCACTGATCCATAATTATTATTTTTTTTAAAACAAGCTGGAACGCTCGTAAGCCTCAGTTAAGTAGTTTCTGTTATCCTGGTGGCATGGGAGGTGATATTATTTTTAAAAAAATCTAGAATAGACTTAGGGTAAAATCATATGATGCGTGATGTGTCATACTGGATGAGCATACATCATAGAAACAGTCAATCAAAGCTATTACACATCCCGTGCGAGTTAATGCATGATGCGTCTTGACCTTGTATATCTGTTTTGATAGTTAATTGATGTGATTATCACCGGTGTGTCGTTGTTAACCGATAAAATTTATGTATTGGGAGTGTGCACTAATTTTAAGGGACTTTTTGGTAAAAATACGGCTTTATTGTAAAAAAAATGGTTACAAATTGATTATTCAAAATATTGTCCATCGCTAGCCACTACTTTTTCCCATTTTTCTGGGGTTAGGCGACAGTTTCCCGAAAAGTGGAGGAGATAATGTTGGTACTAAGAGAAATCTCTACCAGAGATTTAAATTATATCTCTGCACGATATAATTTAAAGATCTGTTTTTTATAACTTCACTGCTGAACCAATGCAAAAGATTAGAGTGAGAAAACGTATACTTGCCTTATTTCAATTTATTGCACCAATTTAGCAGTGCAGTTACAAAGAACAGAATCTTTAAATTATATCATATAGAGATTTTCTTTAGTACCAACATTATCCCCTCCACTTTTCGGGAAACTGTCGCCTAACCCTTTCTGGTAATAGGTAGATTCCACGTCGAAAAAACGACACACCTTTTGAGGCTATCCACGAATCGATCCATTTTTTGGTATCCTTA